TATCGGGCCTCTTCGTGCGTATGCCAGAGTTTACGGAAACGTAATTTCACTTTTTAGCCGGAAGCTTGCTCGTTCCGCGGGCGCGCGTGTATGTGTGGTTTCGTCTCGAAAGTTTCTGCCCGTTTGCGAGTCGATTAAGTAACGCGAAGGGTCGTTAAAACACTGTTCCAGCGATTCGATGGCCCGTCTCGAAAGATCGTCTAAGCGTCACGTTCGACTCGGCCAACCATCGGCATCTATATTATAACGCAGCCCCCTGCAATCGGAACGCGAAATCCTCGAACCCTTTGCTCCGCGAGGGGATCGCTCGCCCCTTAACGCTTACAATCGCCCCCTGAAAACCGTCGATTTCTTAGAAACCCTTATTAACACCCCGACAATGTTCTTCGATTATTGCTACCCGTCCGAGCGACTGATTATAGGGCTGCGCCTCCGACTATTAATTTACTTCTCTCGCGTTCGCCCGTCGGGGGCGAAAATAACGCCGCCATTTCGAACGTACAATTTTCCGAGTTTCCACCTCGGCTAGGGTTCGGCGCGCGCGAGGAGAACTTTGTGCTGTTGTCGTTTACGTTCGAGTACCAAAAGCGTACTCGAGAACAGGGATGGGCACGTTCCTAATCGTTTTATACTCGAAATACCGTGTCAAATAACGTTGTTTGTTCGTTCGTTTCTCCGGGTCCGTTTCGACCCGTGAAAACTGTCGGGAGATGCTGGTTTGTAATCATTGGTAAAGAATCACGGATACAGGAACGCAGGAATTCCATAGTTGCACATAGAACGCAAGTTAACGAGGTAGTTCGAGTAATTGTTTTAAATACAGTTTGCCCATTCCTGTTCGAGAAGTTGCCGAGCGTATCACGCATACGGGTACGTCGCCTGATCGTAGACACTGTACCGCGTTTCGATAAAAATGTGCTCCGTTCCCGAGCCGGATATCCTTCCGGGCTCGGTGTTGAAACTTTGATAAAAAGATTCTTATAACAGTCGATTCGCGCCCGCGGGCGACGACTACGTTTAACATTATCTAAACCGTAAGATTACTTACCGTTCGGCGTTACTACGGATCGTAAGATAGATGAAGAAAAATGTCTACGGTTCTAACGTGTCGTATTTGAACGTACGAACGACGACGAAAACCATTATGTATCTTTCGTTCCAGAATAAACGTTCGAAATCTTTTAATTCGATCAAAGAATCACTCTGTTCGTTAACGGTTAATATTAGCTGTTCAGAAAATGTACGAAACGGTTCGTCGATCCTCTTGCTGGTCGTTTGCATGCGCATACAACGTCAAACGCGCAAATACGTCGCATAGGGTCGGTAAATGTTAAATTGTTAGCGTACGTTCAACGGTGCGGCAACAAGTGACACGTGAATCTGCAAATAGTCAACAGACGCTTTCGGTGGGTCGAAATCCCCGCTTTTTCGATCAATTAATCGTAGGCACACGATCTCCTTAAAAAAAACTGTCCCCTCGTGTGCTGTTAAATGGACGGGGAAAGTGCAATCGATGGTAGACGAGAGAAAGATACGACGAACGATCGTTGTCAGCAGTTAATGCGAAAATCTAACGATTTCCCGAAAGTTCGAGCTGCAATTTCCTCCCTTGACCTTTCGCGGCGCATCGACGTTATCCTTTCGGTCGGAGTGGCGGCACGTAAGCGATTTCAAACGAGGTTTGCACCGAGTTCTACGTCGACTAGATTCGAACGGTGACCGTGTACACCGTGGATGCTCCGTGCCAACGTTCCCGGCCAAATTTCCCATCTAAGTATTTCAATGAAATGCCAGGAGACGCGGTGAATCTTAAGTGTTTCCGAACTCGAGACGAACTTGTCCGTTCGCGGTCCCTCGTTAACTCCTTCCCGTGGCATTTACCTCGACGAAATCCGGACCCAAACGGCAAGCGTCAACGCGCGGTAAACAGACCAGACTTATGCTAAACTGCTTTGTAACAGAGATTATAAGAATCGTGACCAACTCGTGTGGCGTACCGATAGGAACTGAAACTCAATCACCATCGTGATATTCATGTTTGAACCAAAATTTTTATCACGAGTCAGACTCGTTGAAGTACGGGAAGGGGTTAACGAAACGCGAACCTTATCGAGGGAGGCGCTTGTTAATTGCATCGAGCAGCGACGAGTAGCTCGAGAGCCGCAGATGTTTAGGGATAATTTTACGGATACTCTGTCCGGTGTATGCGGTAAGTTACGGCGGCGATCGCGCTCGGAATCAAGTTACGAAGCTGCTCGAACGTGCCCCGCCTGTCGACGAGGGGTTTGCAAACTTCACGACCGGGAAGAGAAATATGCCAGCCGGGACGAAGATCTCCGCGAATCGTCGATTTCCCGGCTCAGACACACATTTCCTCGCCGCGACTGTTTACCATCTGCTTACTCGCCCGCTTTATATCGCTCCGGTGGAATTTACATAAGACCACCGACACGGAAACGGCATTACGCCGGAAATCAAGTCATTCGCCGTTTCGAAAATCATGCACGCGAATTAGAGAGATCGTTAACCTTCCGTGTCTCGGTTTTCTTAGTAGAGATTGATTTTGGAACGCGATACTTGACGAGGCAGAGTCATCGAGATTAAGCAATAAGCCGAATTAATCGAGCGAGATAAATCGGGGCGGGCATAAGTCGTCGATAACGTCGTACCGCAGCGGACGATATTTCTAGTCGCGGTGCTCGTGAATTCTCGTGGAACTTTGGGAAAAAGACGCTGACGAAGGAAAAACAGTGGGAAGTTTGCCAATATCGAGAGATTTTTCGATGGTCGCCGCCTTGGAGAAAACATAGGGGGTTGCAGGAGGGTCGCGTGTGCCTATTCGCGCGAGCTTGCTTTCTAAATATTTGACGAACCTAAACAACGAGTAACTCGCATGGATCGACCTATCGCAGCTGCCGTTTTTTTTAAAATTTCTCTATGCTTCGATATAGTTTTCACAGAATGCTCGTGTCAGCCGTTGGCACGAATACAATGTAAACGGTTTATTAGAAAAAGAGCCCCAAGGCTTGTGCATACGAGCGACTTTTTGACACGCGATTGTACGCGTATCCCTTTTCTTTCCAGCTGAGAAAAGAAAGAAAGGCACGAAATCTGTCTGCACCGAGGCCAACAAAGAAATAAAGCGTTTCCGTTATATTCGCGTACAGTGAGCGCCACACGTCAAAAAATTGTCTCCTAAAACAATTTAAGGTGAATTTGAATAATACGAAAGATTCTCCGATGTAGTGTCTCCTTTTTCTTTCCCGCCTTTATTTTTCGAACGCGCGGTATAAAGCTAAATGAAATTACGCGCGAACGCTCGAGTCCGTTAACGAAACATTAAAGTTACGCGGGTGGTGGAAAGCTCTCGTGGATAATTCCGCTCGTTTTCATAAATGAAATTCGTCGCGGCGTGAACTTACAGAGTTTACCGTCGGGGAAAATTACGCAAACGTTGGCCCGGGAGCAGTAATCTCGCGAACGACCAGCCCTCCGGAGCAGAAACGAAGCGTAAGTAGCCGGAGAAATTACGCGCGAAATCCCAAACCCCCTCAAATCGTGCTCGATGTCCTTTCATCCCCGAACTTTTCGAACGACCCTAATCGCGGGGACGAGCACAGAAGCACGGTCGCGCGATTTTCCAACCCGTCCCGTAAGTACGCGGCGACGTAATCCGCGAAAAAGCGCGGACGATCGATGTCTCCGATGTATTCGCGAGATTTCTCGAAACGGGCACTCCGCGGTGCCGCCATAAATTAGGAAAAGTTCTGGCTAGGAAAGTTTTCGACGCCCGGGATGAATACGAGAAGCGACTACGAGTATTTCTGCTACGCGGAAAACTTTTGCGCGAAGAAACCGCATCGCGTTTTCGCCGGCTACTCGTTATTGTACCGCTGGTAATTTTAATTATACGACTTATATTTGCAAAACAAACTTATTTTCAGCAAAGAGTTTTTAGCCGTGTAATAAATTTCACCTTGCTTGACACGGTGTTTTTCTTTTTAACTGACGCGTGCAGGTAAAAATTTCATTTCCGTTTATGAAACCAAACCTATCGAGGGATTTGGCGGCTGACAGCATTTACAAAACCGTTTTAAAACTTGTAAATAACAAAAATTGTGAACCGTATCGAGGAATTCAATTAATGAACGAGTGCTATGATTACTCATCCGCGGGCGAGAAAGGGGAGATATCAATTCTACAAATTACTATCGACCGTTAGCCATCGAAAGGTAAATAAAAGCATGTTGACCGTAAATTTCGATTAAAAATGCTGGTGGGTTTAGAAACAGTAATTCAAATAAATATCTGATGATTGGAAAATAATTAGTAGGAACAGAATGAAGTGAATAAAATAGAAAAAGGGAAAACTCAGAAGCAGAGGGTTCATGAACAAGATACTAGAGACGTAGAATTCGTCTCTGGCGCGCATTCAGCCGGCCATAACGTCGGATCAGAGTTTGGTGGTCGAATTTACGAGCACGATAAGAATAACGGAGACACGAATTTTTGATACGCGAAACCTGCCGAGGATAGTAAAGCAGAAAGACAGAGATCGTAAACCGTATCGAAATAGTAAAACGAGAAAACCACCGAGGATCGGGAAAGTATGAGTTTAGAGTGGCTTGACGAAATACGACGGAACAGGATATAAAACACGTATAGGAGAACAAGCAGATCGAGGCTCTGCGAAAGTCTATCGTTTAAACTGTTTAGATAACCGATCGTTTTAATGGGCTTCGATTTGACGATGAATTGAAACGCGCGAGCGGAAGTTCATAATATTATGCATCGTTTTTCGACGAAAATGTTTCTTTAAAGTAAACGGTATCGAACGAATATCCGGGCATAAACCTCGATATTAAAATCCATTCCGGTGGCTGGATTCATAACAGAACCGAGCCACAAAAGGCGAATAAAATGAATAGCCCGCGCGACGCGGAGACGACCGTAGTATACGACACGTTTAAAAGTAACGTAACGCCAGGTGGAAACGAGAAGGTCAGGGCTGGTCGCGTTTATGCAAATTTCAACTAGAAATAAACACGATTCCTCGGGAGGAATTCCCACGCGTGCACCTACGCGGTATCGTCGCGTAAAATCGCTTATTAACGGAGAAAACCGCAGAAAAAAAGCGGCGAGAAGGCGGTCGCGTGAAAGCGGCGTAACTTTCATCTTTAAACGGGATCGAAAAAATCGAGCGCCTCTTGAAACCTTTGGGTCAGCGTCGAGCAAATGATTTTTAAATTATTTAAATTCGTTAGGCGTTACGACGTTACCTCGCGGTCGACCACAGAACGCGAGAGTGTTCGTTGAATTTTAAATGAATTTATATTTATTTCAACAATAGCCTCCTTAACGTTGACGGGGAGACATTTCCGTGCAGCAATTTATAGACGAAAGAAAGAGGAGAATGGAGGAAGCGCGCGAAAGGATTTATAGCGACGGTGTCCTGTTTGTCGAGGAAACGTAACGACTCTTAGCCCAGTTAGAAATTAAGTCGACGAAAAAACCCGAGGCATATTTGATTGTTCGAGAGAGAGTGAGAGAGAACAGACAACCGTATCAAAGGTGAAACAAGGGTCTGACATTGACAAAGGGAACGGGTGCATTAATTTCAAAGTTGGAATTCGGAAAAAAAATGCGACAATAACGTCGAGGTGTCTGTTCCGGTCGACGCGACAGAAATTCCTTCGAGTATTTCTGGGGGACGGAAGTACGCAAGATTAATTGCTGCTCCTGAAGCCTGGCTACACCAGAGGTACCTGTAATGTCGTTTAATTAACCCTTCCACGGTAAGTGCGTTTCATCGTCGTGCTACGCGAACAACAAACGAAATTCTTCAGAAATGAAACTCGAAGCGTGGTCGCGATCGCTCGACTCGATGTAAAACACGTCCCGAAGCTCGAATTTTCCAATCGTATTTCAGAGATGGGCCAATATTTTATCGCCTGGACGAATAAAAGATATAGAGTTTCGATTAATATTACGATCCGAATTGTATAATGGAGTTGCGTTTTACGTTTGAAGGAGTAAAAGTTTAACAGCTTTACCGTTTAATCGAACGAACGTTGCCCACGAATCACTGCACGGAGTATCTACTAGTCTGTTGCTCGAGTAAAAGTCTGCCCACCTCTGTTCTACTTCTTTAGAAAGCATCGGACGTTTTGGAAGTTACTCGAAGCGCGCGAGCTATTGATCTCGAACGAAGTTGTCCGTTCTGTGCTCCATTTTCTGTTTACCGGAGTTTACTAAAATTACTGCAATACTATCCGGTATTTTGGTGCTTTGACATTACGACGGCTAAGTTAGAGACTTTAGTAATAGTTTTAGCAAACGAATATCGCGAAACACACGGTGACTCTGTGAAGGAAGTATTTCGAGTATTAAATTTGAGAGATGCGAATGAAAATGTATTTAACGCGGGAACGACGTCCGCAAATAACCTACTTTGTAGGAGAGGAGGAGGCGCGGAAACGCGCGGAACTGTAACGTGTGTCGGCGACGGACGCGCGAATATTTGCTTTAATTTTCAATTAACAACCTGGATAAATTGTTCCATTCGAACGACATTCCGCCACGCGCTTTAATTTGACACTGAATAATTGCTTTAAAGTGTTTTCGCCACGGTTAGTTTTCAAATTGCAGACGCAACGATCGCTAAAAAAAAGTAGCTCGCTCCTCGGCCCGGCGGTCGATCCCGTTTATTTATTCGTGAACGCCGAGTTTGTCGTAGAATTTTCCTTCCTCTTACCGGAAAAGAATCTAGGTTAGAGAGTCTTCTACTTCGTACCACCGAGAAAGCCATTTCGCTTCGAATGGATCCCTCGCGTTTGACAGCAGCCTTTTCAAATTCTGCATATATATTTGTACGCGTTCCAAAGAAACGGTATATTTTATCAAGAATGCATGGGGATTTTCTATCGACTCGATTTCGGGGGAACAAAAATATTTCAAACACCTAAAGCTCGAAGAAAACTGGTCTCAGAGTAGCAGAGTGAAGGATTACAGAAATCGTTGCTCGTTTCCGCGACGACCCATAAGCGATCGAAAGTAGTCGCGAGCTTTCCGGCAGATTCGAATCGGTGACAAAGATACCGGAAGCCTCGAAATTCCGATCAGTTTCCTGCGTGACGGACCACAATACCGTTACCGCGCTGCATTTCCTGCCATTTTACGATCGTTCGAGCGAACAGCGGTCGCTGAATGAGGGAGGATATCGGAGGGAAGGGGTTTGGGTGACAGAAAATAAGGGTGGGATGAGCTCTAAAATTCCAAACGTCCGTGAACCTACGAGTCCTTCAATGCGCGCCCCTTCGGGGTCTTAAAAAACCACCGACTCCGGTTTCGTTTTCATCTATTCCGCTATGGCCGATGTCCTCCCCACGTATGCGTCCTTTCACGATGGGCACATCTTGCGAAGAAACCCGCAACTCCGCATATTTCAGAGATAAACGAAACCGCCGACGTCGCGCGGGAATTACTTTTTCCCTTCTTCCATTCCCGAGAGACCATCTACGCCTCTACTTGTTGAATTCGTACTGATTCTACCGGATCGAAACTTTCGACGAACTTCTGCTGGATTTCTATTATCGCAACTTTTACCGAGCGTCGATTATTGAAACGTCGTTTATCAATATTTCCAAACAACAATTTGCTGCGAACGACCCGAGTGGATTAAAAGAACGAGAAAATGAGTACGTCGGAACGGTTTCGTGACCGCGACTCATAATATGGCGCTTCGAGATAAGAAATCCTGTTTCTCGCGCACCGGGGGGTGAATCCATTAAGGCTTAGTTTAAATTGAACGGTCGAATCTTGATCGACGTTTCTGCGAAATGAAATTTTCCTCTCGCTTAATATTCGAGACTCGCTAACGACCGATTTCGTAAGCGCGAAGAACGGACGAAACGGAAATAGAATACGTCGGGGCGAAAAATAAAATCGGGACAAAGTCTGTTTCGTTTCTCGCTGTATCGAGAACAGCACCCATCCTTGAATTCTTAATGAAGGTTCGTCTGGTAACCGGAATTTCTTTAAACCATAATTCTATCGAGTGTATTTTTAAAAGGACATCCAGCCCGGAGACCTCGGTAAATACGTAATATCTCCGTGGAAGACGGTATCCCGGTGGTAGTTTTCCCGTTAAAAGATGTATCCTTGCGCGCCGGCTCGCAACACGCTACCACGAATAATACACGCTCGCGTTTCGTTCCTCCTTCGACGAGAAAGTTACGAGATTCCTGGCGATCCTCTCCTTTTTTTTCCTTTTCCCGTCGCATACGTAATTCGAATCTCGCGAAACTTTCATCGCGCAAATGGAAACGAAATTTCCTCCCGCTAGCGAGAAAGGCGTGGCAAATATGAGAATTTAAAGAAGAAAAGGGGACGCGAAAGGAGAAAGAAATTGTCTTTCACGGTGCAACGGCGAGAAAAGCCGTGGCATTAGAGCGTGGCGGGTGAAAGGTCGTGAAATTTAGCCCTCTTTCGTTCCCCCTTTTACCCTCCGTCGCATATTTCAATACTTTTGCCGTGGAAAAGGATACCCGGGCAGCTCCGCCCACGTTCGCCAGCTTCTTCCGTGGATTTTGTTTTCCACAGATTCGCGTATTCGACCGGCCACCACCCGCGAAAGGGCGAAACGCTCGCTTTAATCACTTCCTGCCCTCTTTCAGCTCCGTTCTTCTGTCTCCAACCCTTTCAGCGCGAGCTCCATTTCGATCGCGATATCGCGCCAACCTCCTAGCAACTCGAACTCCGTGGAAATCTTTCGGTAAATAGCAATAAGAAAGCCATTGACACCGAATTCCGTTGTACAATGCACAAAATTGATATATTTAATCGTCACAAAATGAAATTTAAAGACTATAGAACGCTTTTGCCAATAGTTTCGACTTAAAGCCTTCTCTGTATCTCCGATAGTTTTAAACGCAGAATCAGGGGATTGGTGAAACTTCAGTGGGTAGTTTCGCCCCTGAAACTCGTATCGCCGCCTCGAAAGACGCTAATCCCCCGTTTTTAACCGTACTACAAACCCCTGCGAAGTTTCACCAACGTCGTGGAAGTTCTCGCACGATCGACGATCGACGAGGTCCTGAACCCATAAAAATGCAAATCGAGCGTAACTTCCGTGTCGCGATAAAAGCGTTAACTCGCGCGCACGAAACAACCCGGTCGAAACAATTATTCGCCGCCTTGGAAATTACCAGAATGGCTACGAAGTACGCACGCGAGCGCGAAACTTTTCACCAAACACGATACACAGAGAGATCGACGATAAGTTCTCCGTTAAGGTTTTCACGCACAACCGCCGCGGGGAATCGATAAGCAGATAATATATAATACACTCCTATTGTTACTTTAACATCAATCCAGGTTTCTGTGCTTCGAGCAAACGCACGGATCGAAGAGAACCTTCCGAACATCCCGTTTCGCGCATCGAAATTTAATAAAAACGGGATCGATGCAGTTCCATTTTTAGCGGCGGATTCCTTCGGGAGTTCCTGGAAACTTTGATCCCTCGAGAGAACGCAATTTGGGAATTTCGTTCGTCGTTCGTAGAAAAATAGTCGACGGTTTCGGTCGAGTACGAAGAGCTAACAAAACTAACGACTACTCGACATCCACTACGCGAGACTTCTACGGTATCTAGGGGTACCGTCGCGACGAACGGGAAGAAAATCGTTTCTGCAATGGGAAGGAGAAAGAGAATACGTCGAAAATAGTCGCGCGGTGTCGGTTTGAGGAGCGTGTACCTACGTATGCGTGTACGCCGGCTGCACGATCGGTTCACGGGCGAGCTGCGCCTCATAGATCGCTCGTTTCTCTTATCCTGATCGTTTCGACGATCGATATCTCGCTATCCGTTTCGACGATTCGTGGCGACGATCGAATCGTACGACTTTCAACGATCGGAGAGAGTCGTCGAGCCCCGACGGAGATTCAGCATTACTCGCCGCCCAGTGATAACGCCTGCACGATCCTTGGGTCGGCCTTGCTACCCTCCCGAAACTCCTCGAGGGTCAGCTTGTCGTCGTGGTTTTTGTCCATGTGATCGAAGATCATGTCCACCCTTTTCTGCGGCGTGTTTTCGTCTTCCGCCTGCGGCGTCTGACCCTGCAACATCGCGCACCCGATCCGTTAGACAATTTTTTACTGGCCGGTCCGTGGTTCGCCACAACCACTTTCCCGTTATCGATCAGAGGTCACGATATTCAAAGCAAACTCGAGACCACTCGAAGAAAAATCACGTTTCTAATCACTCAACGTTCACAAAAATGATCAAATTGCTTCGTTTCTAATAAAGTGGAAAGCAATTATTTTCAACCCTTAAACGGTTGGATCGAACAGAGGTCTTTCCAAATATGGGCGTTGAATAATAGTTAGTCGGAGCACGTGACCTGGAAAAATATTAATCCCTCTCTTTGCATCGAAAGACGTTAAGAAATCAAACCGTTTCGGCTCTGGGAGCATTCCGGAGAGCTTTGCTGTCTGTTAAAACGTCAAAGAGATTCGTACTGTCCCTGAACTATTGATTTCAGTTTCACGGCGGAAGGCAAATATCGCTTCGAGCAAAGGAATAATTTCACCGAATCCTCCGATCCTCCTAATCCTCGTTAGCTCGCAGAAATGCGAATAAGGTGGATCGATTCGTTGCTACCTCTGACTTCGCACAATGTAAATATCTATAGTACGTTTAAAAAAATAAAAAATTTCCCAAGATCAGAGTAAAGATTCTTACGAAAGAATAATCCGAATTTTTCTAATCAGTACGCGAGGATCGCGATAAAAATGCTAAACCAGAACGGGAGGAAAAGATAGAGCCTCGACGACAGTTACTGGAAGCTTTCGTGCAAGTAACGTTTGCAAAATAGGGTCGAACGAAGTCTTCCGTTGCGTTATCCGAGAACTTACCGTTCATCGGCGATTTAACGCGCCTGAAATACATCGCAGACTATCGCCGCCATTTTGGTCCTTGGTATACAACGAACGCGAGCACGAAGGCGCGCGTATCGCGATCGGTTGCTTCGAAAAAAGAGCGAAATTAAAAGCTAGAAACATCCGACGATACTAAAAATAAACCTTAATATTTTCCTTTCGTATTTCATAACCCGGTTGCGGTTGAATTAAACATTTTCGCAGCAATGTACACGCTATGCGCGTATACATTTCACGAAAGGGCGTATCTACGATCTCGCGTTCGCGTTAGCTTAAGAAAGTAAAATTTGCATCGTTTTGAGCAGTGTTCGTGTTACGCGCTCGGATATTATAAAGGTAAACGGAACCGATACGTGTCCTATCTCGTTTAAAGCTTGAATTATACCGCGACACTTTGCGAGCCGGTCGAGAGAGAAATCATTGGATAAAAGTCTTCCTTTGTCGTTGGTGTCCTGGTTTCGATGCAGCCCCGTTCCGCAAACACATCGGGACTCTGGAGGATTAACGCGGCGCATTTCCTACGACGAAAATGTAAATTGCACCAGGACCGGCGAACCATAACTTTGTGCCAAGATACAATGTTTCTCGAACTGGAGACTTTTTGTTTTTAGCGAATGCTGGTTAAAACGACGATACGTAGAAAAATATACGTTACAAATAAACGTACGAGTAAACTCAGATTAAAGTAATAACAGAAATGGTAACTTGTGTTTTCCAACTTATACGCTAGTTATGTAGTTTTAGTGTGCTAGTTTTAACTAGTTTTGTATTTGGTTATTGTCTGGAAACAGTGCAAAAGTGAATCGTTTCTCGCCACGTGGTGTATACTAAACATACTTACGTTTGCGTTAGCAAGTTTAAGCAGTCGATACGTTCTGCTCTAATTGTACGTGGTTTGGAGTTTAAGTTGAGACCAGAATCGTCACGAAATTCCACAGGAAATGGTAACCTATGTCCTCTTACTTGTGCGTTAGGATTTAATTGTTGCTCGTGTATATTAATATAATTGTCCATAATAAGTCGTCTTAATGATTAACTATAAATATCGATGTACATCTTATGTAGATTAGGATTCAGTGAACACAGAAATATTTCCAGTATGACCAACCAAATGTGTGCATCGATTGTGCTGGAAACAGGATGGTAAACTCGCTGGACCAAAAAGTCTGCCTTCGAAGGTTAAAAAATAATGAAAATAGTGATAAATAAAGGTTAAAATTGATGGTGCAAGCTGGCCTAGAGCTTCTACCGACGATTTTAAAGTCTTTAACATTTTGATCATCGACCAATCGCTCGTCACCGATAAATTCGGAAAATCGTCATTAATCAAAATGTCAAATTAATGTTACAAGCGATAAAATTGATCAGCACATAGCGATAGAAGCGATATTAAGGATCTATTAAATTATAAACGCGTTTCGCGTTAAATAATGGATGAAAATCCCAGTTCGAAGTGTTATTTAACTAAATCTAATAGTCCTCCCAATTTCTATCATATTCGCCAGAACTTTTAGACATTTTTCCAAAATAATTACGTAACATTTGTACACGGATCCACGTTACAAACGAGACAAATTGTCCTCGAAACGGTTCTGCGGTGAACAATTTGTTCATTTTTGTATTCAGCGCGACAAGCAAAGTTAAATGATGCTGATATTGCATGTATTTGTCACGGTTGACATTTTCGGTATTCAATGACTAAATTTCATATCTGTAGAAAACTTTTTTCCACGTTGAAAAATGTTTTTAACAGTCGCCCGGAGAGAACTTGTCCCGCATGAAAAAATTGCAAACCAAAAAATAGAGCTCATGTGTCCATTGAAAGAATAGACTACGTTGAGCAAAATATTGTCTGTTAGCTAACAAAACTCTTTGATTACGTTAAAACGAAGAAACTCGAACCTTTTTGAATACTCGTGCGCTTAAAAAAACCCCTAATTTCGGGCGAAAGTAGGACGGGGCAGCCGATAGCTTGTTCCGATATGGTGGGAGTAATTTCTGATGTTCGACGGTTTGATTTCCGATCGACTGATTTCACCAACGCTCGATTCAAAGCGTGTTACGCCCGAGGAAACTTTGCTTCTATCGCGAGTCGGTAATACACGATCGCTACATCGCGTGGAGGATCGATCACCTTATCGACTCTTGGCATCGTCCATTATTCTAATCCATTACGTTAAGATCCGATCTAAGGGACTCACTCTCAGCCGACATAAACGAACCAATCGACTATCGAATTATCTATCCTTCGGCGATCTACGGTCCAAATGGTAAAACATTATCACGGATTTGTTGGAACGAGCGTGTCGATATAACTGGTAGCTGACAAAGATTAGGAGACTAGGATGGATATTTAAATGTTGGTATCTATTTTACGTTTCAATTTATATAAAATCCCCGGGGTAAAGAATTATCGATTTGGTGTGGAGTGACCCGGAATCGTTGGTTAAACATCGCGAGTTTCGGTATCGTAAAAATGTTAAGTTTCGCGTTAAATCAACGTCAGGGAAGTTTGCCCGCGCCTATAGGGGCGCAGCTGCTGGCTTGCGTAGCTAATCAGCTATTTATGACGTTGGAGTTCGGTGGAAGCGTTTAATGACAAAACTCGCGCGGTTCGTTGTTAACGTACGACAGCGAATTTCGTTAATAATTAATTCCCCCAGACGAGACAACGCTTCTTTTTGCAGCCCGTGTTAAATAGAGGGAAACAGCATAGTAATTAAAGGCGCGATCGAAACAAACGGTTAGTAATGGCCGTCTATAAACTTGATAACGCGGATAAGAATAATGGGCGTCGATAGTTGGCGCGAGTGTACAGTTAATCTCTCGAAAGTAATCTTTTCTATTATCGAATAACGATTAAGGCTATCGGCTTTACTTTATAAACTGGACGTGGAAAAAATTCTGGTTGTTCGCGAACGAAAGTCAGCGGGGAAATAACCGACTGATTCCGTTTGCGCGAGAAATTATCGCGTTGGCTCTCGTTCGCGACTTTTTCCTAGAATCAATTTGCCTATCCAATTACATTCGCAGTATGAGCATTATGAAATCACTCCATCTGCTATTGTCGTGCGTTCCTCCCCCTCCGACAATAATCCAGTAATTATTCCGCCTTTTGTTTGAGTTTCCATGCGGCACAAAATTCGAGCTCCATTATCTACAGATTTCAGACGGTTGATATTTCTGTCAGTACCAATGTTATGGGGTTTTAATTCCTCTCTAGGTAACCTAAATTCCTATTTCCGTTATGTTGAATTGTTTTTTAAAAAAATGTTCCGTCAGATCGAGAGCTCAATTAACGCGGTTCGTAACGTTTACTTTGAAAAAATTTAAATCGGACAAAGTCAGCAATTCGGGGAGCACGAATACTTCCGAGACCCGCTGTATGCACGGAACTATGCTGGATTGCTCGTCGATATTCCAAACATCCCATAATTGCGCTTCGGAGTAATTATCTTCGAGTCAATAGTCACCGGCACAAACGACTTTCTCGGCCAACGTGATCTCTGACCCGGGATTTTCCTGCTCCGTCGACGCCAATGCGTAGCAGACATGATTGATAACGCTGAATCCGCGTGGAAATTCGGGCATCGATCGCGCCAAGATTTTACGCCAGTTTCCACAACTTTTATTCCGACTATTTTTCCAATATCTCCGGATAGAAGGGCTCGGTTGAAAGGGTTGATTTTTCCCTTACCGTCACGAAACGTTCTACTTCTATTATATATATTTCAAACGTTAGGTTGTTGTTACCGTCGCGAAGCAGTTTCAAAGAACCATCGATTCTCGTGTACGAAACGGAGATTCCTTTGACTTCGCCACAACATATTTCATTCCTTTGACGTTCCTCTGTTTCCTCGAGCAAGACAGTAATTGTCCCATCTTTTGTCCCGGATCATATACTTTGCTGGTCTCGAGTAGGTTGACCATCTTGCTTTGGATAATTGATTCGCCAAGTCCTCTCGATTCCCATTTCTGTTATTCGAGATCCCCTCGAACTCTTTTTTCCTCGATCTCCGAAAGTTACTTTCGGATAAAGACGCGCCAATCGTTGTATAATCTCTTAAAGCGTTCCGGGAATGTAGGTTACCGTTTATCGAGGCGATCGGAGAAAGATACAGTATGTATTTGTTATCCGTTTAAAGTTAATTGCGTCCGTCCTCGCGATCGCTATCGATGCTTCTACGATCGATTAACAATGGACACGAATTCCGAGAAATTGTTCGACGATGGAAGCTGCTTCCCTTCTTGGAAAGCAATCGACGATAACGGGGGAATAGGGAATTCTGGGTATAGCAAAATGGTGTATCGAGACGTTTTCCTCGATACCTTAAAAACGATCTACTCACCACCATCTCGTATATCGCTTCGACGATATTGTACATCTCTGCCCTCGTGATGAAACCGTCGTTGTCCACGTCGTAGAGCCGAAATGCCCCTGAAAATAAACACAGAATCCACTTCTTCGCTGCTCCATTCCCTTCAAACGCGTTACGATACTTATTAGTCCATTTACACCGTGAATGTACATTGGAAACAAGTATATAGCTTGAAAACTTTATGACAAATCTAGCGTTTAATTACAACCAGAGAAACAACAGGAGTGATTACTGTGATGTGCCAAGAATGCGTAGTTGAAACTAATAGGAAGCGGTTTGAAATAGTTTGAATCGTCGCTCGAACGTGGAGGATTTCGAGTACTTGACAGAGAATGTAATTTGACGTGTAAATCAATCTACCAAACAACGTACGAACTTGTACTAATAAGTATTTAATATGATTTTGCAACCGTAGGTATTAGTCGCGGTTCCAAAATCACACGTTAAGAGGATTAAGTTCTACTTACAATGGAGTTTCTCGTCCAGGTTGCCGCGCGACGTCACCGAGAGCGCCCTTATGAACTCCTCGAATTCTATCGTGCCATCCTGCGAGACAATAATCGACGATCCGGCTTATATTTTCGTCGACGACGAGAGCATGTGTTTTCCTGCGATGGCACGAGTTCCGTCGACGCGCTCGTGTGCCGCGAAATCCGATCGAATCGATCGATTTACCGTACACGGGGGCGGATTTTCCATCGAACCGAGGAACCCTCGGTTTCGTGTCTTCGAACAGAAGCACCTAGCGAGAGCTCCTCCGTCTTCGATATTATAATTTAACTACCATCCGGAAGTCATCTTGGAAGACTTCAATTTTAGTATTAACAAGTACTCTTATTTATAGTAGGTCTTCCAGTAATTACGATAATAAGCAAAAAGTGTCGAATAAAATTGTATCGTACAGGGGTTTCGTTTTCGAGATAATTAAATTTGAACTGTTGGATCGACGTGCGATCGAGCTGGCGCGTCTGGCCATGACTCGTTGCTTCTACTTGCGCGGATGTCAAACTACTCTGTCGCACAAGGCACTTTTTCGACTTATTTTTTCACACAGAATTCACGAACGAACTATATACGAGAAACTAAACGTAATTATAATACCTGAAGGCATTGAGAATTATACAAATTTAAAGTTTTAGTATTCGTATCTCGATAGATCTAAGTGTTCGTAGAAATCGATCCATTTCGTTCGATGGCGGGACTCTTGAGAAGTATTTCGTTTTATCAAAAATGTTTGATAAGCAGACGATGGAATGTCTTAGTAGACGTAAAATTAATAAATACACAAATGCCGACGAACCGGCCTTTAAATTGAAAAATACCAGAAGGGATATCGGATAATGTTAAACGCGAGGACACCGCGGTAACGTAAGATCGTTTTGTGTACGAAACACGAAATAAGAGTGTCGCGGATTGTTCGAAGGGCTGGAATTGTTTTATCGATCCGTGGCGACCGCTTTTATTCGCTTTTGATGGCCCCTCTCTTTCCGTCATCCGTTAGTTTAACCTCGTCGCGATAAATTTTCGTTTAAGGACTGTGAAATGTAAATGTAAAGATCTATGGAAAAGCAATCTTTTATCGCGGACGTGTAAAAAAGAGAAAAAATGGATAGGAACGCTTTGCGTAAATTTCAAAGAACGTCGCTCAATTGTACGCCGATATCTATGGAACTCTACACCAAAAATAAAGCATTAAAAAATATTAGATTCGTGTATTCACGTTCTGTAGTTAAAAAACTACACTCAGAACTGCGCATGAAATACCTGTTTAAACCAAACTCCTCGAGAACCGACAGACGTGGAACAAAATGGTGAATATGAGAAAAGTTTGGTTTTTTGACGTCATAGTGGTGCCATTATAGTAAGTCAGATTGCTTTTTATCAAGCATCGGTAACTAAATTTGAAATTAATTTGTACCTAATATTTATCATTTCTGTGGTCTCAACAATTATTTCTAGCCACAAATTATATTTTCGGTTAGATTTAAAAAATGATTGTAATTGACCCCTGTAATCGAAAATAATTTTTTTATATCGAGTATTCACCAGAGCGCTGATTATCGTAGAATCGAGGATCGATCGATTGATCGGTCACGAACAAGCTAATTGAGTCGTGAATAAAGCTCCCGGTGTAAAGTCAAGTCGATTAGGAGCAGTCCTCGTTCTACTCGGGTTGTTTTATTGAAACGACATTAACTCGAGGTGATACATTTTCACGCTCGTTAATTCGCGATCCCGGAATCGTAAGATCGTTCTTTTTATACTCGATGGAGGCGTTCGCGGAAATGTGTGTCGAGGCCGTGTTACGGATTTCTTTGCCTCTTTCTTTTAATTAGTAACGCGTTTGGCATCGAGTGATGAAGGGACTTACGCTGTTCTCGTCAAAGACCCTAAAGACAAGCGAGGCGAACTTCGAGGGATCGCCATCAGGAAAGAACTGCTTGTAGATCTTTATGAAACCCTGGAATCACGCAACGGACACGTTTACCCTTTAGTACTATTCGCACGTATCGATTTTTCTTTAATTAATGTGCAAAACCAGGTCATACCTGTTCCGTCAGCTGGCCATCGGGGCAGTCTTTCAGGAATCCTTTGTGCCTAAACAAACAATCGTCCAGCGTTATCGAACTTCGTTTTACCGCCGGCACGAAAGCTCTCTTTCGAAGCTGAATTTTACTATCGATCAACAGGGGAACCAAGCTAATAATAATAATACGCGATCTCAGTAGTTTGCAAATTTACTCGATCGGTAGACAATGCATTAATGCAATCGTTTTGAAATTCTTAATTGGACAATTTTATTTAAAACGAACTCTTTTTGGTTCGGGACAGTAGCCGGAGCTTTGGCTCGTGGAACTCACCATTGTCGAATCTCCTTCTCGGTAACTGAAACAGAAATAAGCGGGAATGGTTTTAATCGAGCGGGAAATGCGACGAGTGGCTGAGGCTCGTGGGGGAAAACGTTTCGCAAATAGGGCGGGAAAGAACATACGGGTGATTTGCCGCTCGATGGACTGCATTTCTCTAAATTCGTATAAAACTCTTCGAAAATTTAAATCTAAAAATTTGTAAAATAAATAAATATCTGGAAATTGGTTTCGACTATATTCAAAATACCTTTGAGGAGGAAATTAGAAAAAACAAATTTAAATGGCTGACCATCGTTGGTATCGAAACGCGCGCGCGCAGTGATGGTTTTTCGAGAGTCTGGATTATTTTATTCGACAGTCTGCGAAGGAAAGGAGCTGGCCACGCGTTCGGTCGAATCCAATAGTTTATTTGTGTCGAAAATGGCGAATGATATATCGCACAATCGAATCGGTGAGATACGCGCATCCGTAGGAGTCGGGGGAGGAACTCCTGTTGTCCGTCGAGTATTTTTCTCGCTAACAATCGTCCGTATCGATCGTCTCCAGCGTACCGCCGGTTTCGGATAAATTGAATTTATCGTTGAAACGGCGGTCTGCATTGCGGGAACATTTCGGGCCCGTAGAAGGCCGAAGGTTTGCGAGCATTTTCCCTGGGATTTTCGGACGCGCGACGTTTTCGCCCTACGGCCTCGATTCGCTATCGAAAACCGATCTAATGTCCCGGAATAGTTAATTAATCCGTGTCGTGTTTCGGGCGGAACTTTAACGCGATCCTCGAACCACGTTTGAACTAACCAGTCGGAGTGTGTCCTTTTCAATTTTCTCATTATCGAAATTCACCGATCACCAGCGATCCTTTGTTAGATTTAACGGCGGCCTGTCGCTCGACCTCACTCTCTGGATCATACGTAAATCAAAGTGCAACGTGTTCGAACAGACGGGCGTGTTATTATTTAAATGGCTGAGAGCCCTCTAATTACACTCGTAAAAATCTTAGATTCTACCTCGCTTTGTATTAGCATGCAATAAATTTTAATAATTTATTTTAGCAACGTACAAACTGAAAATGCCATCTTTGATGCCCCAGTCGGATTTAAAGAAGCGAATCGAAGGAGCACAAATTGCCAGCGACGTTGGTACGACATCGTCTTTTAATTGGGGACGATTTAGCGATTTCTTCGATGGGATTTTAGGGATAAAAATCTATGGTCTTGTAATCTTTGAGGTGAAACAACTGTTCCGCCCGGGGCGATTCGACGGTTGATGTATCTTGTTATTGCGACAGCTTCAGAGACACTGGTAATTCTAAAGGATAGACAGTCCTAAGTAGAAGCGACAGGGGACGAGCTATCGCAATACTAATGGTCTCGACATTGTTTACGAACGCAAACAGAAGTAGCATCGTCTAGCTAGATTAGGTCAATTGAGCACATGTTGGCTAGCTTAATTGCGTGCATTACGAATACTCGAACTCCATTTTCTCCCGTCATTCCTCGCAACCAACGCGAGCCACAAGGTGGACGACCCTTTTTTATGAAATCTATTCTAAAAGCGTTCTAGAAGCGTGGAGCGTTCCCTTCGCTTTTCACGAGCGAGAAAGCCGTACAAAAACTAAAATCTTCGTCGCGGAAGATAAAACTACAAAGGATGGGCATCTCGTCTCGGGTAGAAAAAGCAGAATTTCCAAAGAAAGAGTACATTGGCCCGACGCGACGTACGAAAGTCGTCTTCTTTTGACAGACCGCGCATACATAATCTTTCTCGCTCGTCACTTCGTCCGCGCTCGACTTTTATGGCCTTCGATAAATTTTCACGTGGTTTTCGAGCGAGCCTGGCAGACACTGGGACAAGGCCACTTCATTTTTTTCAAAGGGCTTTCGAGAGAGCCAGTCGCGTGTTTTCAGGTACGTTTTTACTCCTCTCTTTTCGTCTCATTTTCCCTCCCCCCCTAGCCCCTGTTCAATTGCGTCACAATCCGCACGGACACTCGATAAAGCGAATTCAGAGGGAATTATACTTGGAACGCGTCCGCAATTCTACTTCGTTATCGTCCGTTGTGGCTCCGCACGATCCACGGAATTTTATTACGCTTCGACTCGCCTACAGGCGTTACACGATGCTCGAATATTCCACTATATCTCGAACCACTGAATTACAGTACAAAATAAGGTACAGGCCAAGGAAAAGCAAACGGAGGCAGAAGAAACGATGAAGTATAAAGAACAATCTTCTTCGAAGGTATCAAGCTCGTACGCGTACAATTTCCACGAAACGAAATCGTTGGAGATCGTTCGTTGCGTTTGCATGAAATTTGCGAGGACTGCTCCTTCGACCCGCTAAACGATTCCGCCTTGAATTACGGCGAATCGGAGAACGAATTGGAAAATAACGCCGGTCCCGTTGCGTCTCGGAGACAGGATCGTCGTTGCGGTAATACTAATTGGTCTTTCCCAATCGGACATCAATCTCCTGGTTGCGACGCAAGCAGCGTCCATCGTCGAGCGGACAAACGGGCTCGCGAGAAGATAAATTTGTCGTTGCTTCTATGGAACGTAATTTGCGCTAAGCATCAACGCCGATGACTGTGCCTCTGGAATCGCGAAAATATTTCAAACGCTACTTCAAGCAATAAATTCTTTACGATTCGAATGAAACGAAATGTTTTATTTCGGTAGTCCAAAGCATCGAAATAAATTGTGAAAGTAGTAGCCGAAGCATAAAAATTAAGCGTTATCTGATAATAAATCAAAAGATAGAGTGGAATGGAGTGTAAGTAAAGGTTACGATCGGCTGGTGGATACTTTTTTAGCCACGGTCATTTGTCTGTATACTTGTTGAGCGGCCGTAGATCAAACACGCGAACAAGTCGAAAGTTAGCGATGGAAACGATATGGTCGGGTCGTTGGTCTCCGGAGATCCGATGGCTCCAACGTTTTGGTCGCAGCGAGGAAGGCTCGAAGAGAGTAATTAGCCGCCGTAGGGGATAATCTGGAATGCTTCGAAGAGCCTATCGATCATCTCGACGAGCACCTGACGCGCACCGAACGCCGGATAACTGCAACCCGATCCGACTCCAGACATCTTGACCTCACGGATAATCTTATCGGAAACATTTTACGGCCCTTTCGGAAATTTCTATCCGCGTGTCCGGACAGGATGCTCCCAAGAGCGTCGAGAGAGCCGTTTTCGGCGGGAGACTCTAAAAATTACGAGAACTTGCCGGGGATACTTTGTTGCCTATTAACCGGGTACGCGTGTAAAGGTCGGCACCGAATTGTTAATAAAACGCTCGATAGACCCTAAAACAGCTTTCAAACACGTAACGGAGTTAAAGGCTGTAGTTAAAGGTCGTTTAAGTTTTTAATAGCGCCATTTTACGCGCTGGCTTTGTAACGCGTTACGGAACGAGGGGAAAGTGGATTATACGCTCACAAGTCATATCGTACCGTGGAGTACGACTGAGAAAAAACAATTTTGGATAAATATTTTAACGGTTTTTTTTTTTATTTGTTACGTTGTACAAGCCTCTGAATCGCCAAATGCTTCGAGGGTGAATAAATCGAAGCTCAATGAAAAGGGAAGAGTTTCGGGGGTTATTAAATAAAATAGAGATCGTCCTGGTGTAAAAGCGGAAACGACGAGCTGACGTCATCGACGGAACCGTCCGCGAGAGGAACGTAAACCGTGGGCAGGACGGTCGAGGGTCTATATTGCGGGGTAACGATAATTTCAGCCACGTGGCCAGCACTTTATTGCCCGACGTACGGCACGCTAGCAAAATGGCTGTGCAACCGAACGAATAATTTATATCTCCACGTATACGGACAGCTGGCAATACCGGGAAACTTTGGAGTAGGTTTTCGCGTCGCGGTTTACGATCTCCGTTCGTTCGTTAAATGCCCGTCGACCAACCTCGCGTGTCGCGTGATCGTTCGCGTTCAAAAAATTTCCTCAGCGACGCCGGCTCAGCGGGAAACCGTCCGGATTAAAAACCAAGATTGTGTTACGTCTGCTCTATGATTTCCTCCAACCAACACCGGAGTCTATTCGCGCCCGCTAGAGACGTTTCGTCAAAGTATTTAACTCGAGCAATAATTATATTTTGCATAATTCTAATTTCGTCGGAGCGTCAAGATGAAACTAGTGAAATAGAGGGAAGTGCGGAAGCGAGGATTTGCTCCTCAATGTCCTTGAACCGGTGAAATATTTGGCAGGGACTTAGCAATGTAAGCTCGCCCGTCAGTCGTTTTACGGCGGGGCGCTTTAACGAAGAATTTTCGCGACGGTCGTGGAAAGTTTCGCGTTGACCGCAAAGCTCCGGTTTTCGGTCCCAGTCCGACCAATCGCTATCTCATGGCGAGGCACCGCTGGCTGGTAATTGGTTCGAGGCCAAGAAGGCTTAATTGCGCCTCGTTCACATACTCCTCCGTCCCCGCCGTCGCGCCCACTCTAAAATCTTTCCATTGTATCGCTTCCTTTTTTTCTCCGCCTCGTCCATTTTCTTCCCGGCGTTCCTCCACCGTCGGTTTCCGGTTTCGCGAGGCCCCTCTGTTTCCACGACCCCGATCTTTTCTCTCGTTCGATTCCGTCGCGTACTCTCGTCCATCGTCACCTTTCGGCGCTCCCGGTTGTCTCTCATCATCCCTGTAAACTTTTCGCAACACTCTCACGCTCCTCGTTTAACTTTCATAGGAGTTCTACGAGGAAGTTATCTTTTCCTGCCTTACGGAACTTTCAGTTTTCCTAAAACTTTCGACAGTTTCCTTCGATCCGCCTCCCCCCCACCCCCTCCCACCCCCGCCATCGTTTCCCGTCTTTATTTCCTCTCGATCGAATCGCTTTCCTCGAGCTTTTAATCGCCAATATGATTCCAGCTCGTAATATCGTTTCCGCTTTTATTCCCCCGGTGAAAAGAGTTTATCGTTCGATAGATAATAAAAGTTTGTCGCCATCCGTTTAAGCGCGATACCACGAGGAACGAAACGCCCCACTTCCCCCGCCAACTTCGTTTCTACA